CCCCAAAACCCCAAAACCCCAAAACCCCAAAACCCCGCTTTTATTTATTCAATAAGATTATTATGGATAAACCTGGCACATTTAGAATCACTATCCTTTATCTTCTGTAGAGTCAGCTTAGCACCAATACAGTGAGAAGTAAGATTAAAATCATTACGATCTTATCAAAGCTGTTTACCAGGATATTCATAGATCCAAATCCTAAGTTTCCAAAATTTGTGCTCACTGGAGAGTTTATAAAGTTTGTCCCGAAAAATACAGCTGATGTTGCATATTTTGTCAAAGGATTGTCAAAGTTGGAATATGCCATTATTTTGAAAGTGTTCTCGAGGTCAGATGGGTACTCCAACTCGATTAAGCCCAAGAAGAATAGTATTCGAAGAGTGTTGGCTAAGCTCCACATTGTTTCAGCAGATCCTCCTGTCAGCATACTTACTCCAAGTGATACTCCAATTGTTAGCAAGAAAGTGAATGAAGCTCCTTTGCCTGAGCTTTCAGCAGATCCGCTGACTGGGAATGCTGGGACTGTAAATGTATATGCAACAGCACTCAACATTGGAATCGACTCATTAGATTTGAACATATCGATCTTTTGGAGTGTGAGAGTGGTTCTTTCACCTATTCCACCAACAAAAGGAGGAACTGGGACAAGAGTAACAATAAAGTTTTTACCTAAATTATTAATCAGATTCAAAGACCAATGCTTTCTTACCTTCAAATTTTGATGTATAAGTGAATGAAATTTCTCCATTTGGACTCTCCACAAACACAAACATGCTTGTCTCATTCAGCTTTTGGTCCATCATAATTTGATCAAACCCAACATAAATATCTTTTGTTTGTGAGTTGAATGAATGACTAACTGGAACTGGCCTAGGAAATTTTGTATCTCATTTATCTTCCTTTCCAGGAACAATATTTCAAACGTATTTTTCTTCGAGTTTATAATCTTTTGAGCAACCATCAAAATCAAGGTTGTTCCCATCGTCTCATTCTTCAAAGATATCTGTGTCTCTGACTGAGTCTCCGCAATTAGGAGTTCAGTATGAAGGCTGAGTAACGTAATTTATGCATTTATGACCATCAGTTATGGTGCAATCACTTTCACATCCATCTCCTGAAGATGTATTCCCGTCATCTCATTCCTCTGTAACGCTTTCATAAATACCACTTCCTCAGGAAGGAACACAGTAGGACTTATAATTAAGTGTTGGATCTTCAAAGCAGGTGTAAAATTCTTCAACAGTACAATCTTCAGATCAACCGTCTCCATTTTCAGTGTTGCCGTCATCACATTCAAATATTCTGGGATTTTTCTTGACGCTTCCATCTCCGCAGATATCTCTTCAGAATTTGTAGATCTCTCGGTATCCAATGGTTCAATACTCTTCCTTTTTATATTCAAGGTTCATGCAGAGTTCCTTCTGGTTTGGAAAATAGATCTATGGGTCAAAAGTGGCATATACCATTCAAGCGTTATCTGAATTTGGAATTTTAGCACTATTCGAAGAGAATTTACTGTAGTAATTAGAGTTAAGAGTCTCCTGGTAGGTATATCCAGAATCTCCGACCTCTTCATAAGCGCCCATATCATGCAAGCTCTGGTTGTTGAGGGCCCATGGGTAGAACTTAATGTTTCTGACCAATCCCTATGTCTTATAACGATGTATTACTCTTAGATGTTTAAACTGAATGCTCATGTTTGGAGCTTCTATGAATCCACTCTCAGAGATGTTTAAGTCACCACCTTTGTAGTCAATATCTAGTGGATCAGCTATAGCATAGCTTTATGAAGCGAAGATTGGAAATTTAGTTGCAAGAACTTTGATGAACTAGCAGATGAAATTTGAGAACCCAAAGTGTAAGAATTGAGGGGAGTGCAGAAGAAGGGCTGGAAATAATAGAGATTTTGGAAGAGAAGTGTAATAGTACCTGATCCATACTGTCTCATGACTTGAACAGAGTTGTATAGATTAATTTGATCGGTATCACTCCCAAAAGCATATGAGAAGGTGACCTAAATATCATAAAGTTTAAATTACTCTGTTCCATTTATATCTTGTCAATCCTTTACCTCTGACTTCTCTAGATTTTCTTCTCATCTTTGTCCAACTCCTGCCAAATCTCGTCCTAAAGGAGATATTTCTAGCAAAAGAGGCCAAGCTTACCAGTATTGTTTCCAATCAGTTGCATCTTCTGTGTGTGGATACAAATCAAGAACTCCTTCATTAGTGACCAAGAATACTTCAAACTCAATGGTGAACTGATGCATTGAGTTGAAAGGGAAAGCCTCCGTTCTAATAAGAGCATCCCATTGGAAAGACATCCATCCATTATCCGTAGGAAATACCGGTCTTGTATTATCATCATTATAGAAGAGCAGATCTGTCTAACTATAGTTCTTCAGAAGGAACTCATATGATTTAGTCTGTTTTTGATCTAATACTGTGTAGTTTGCAACTAAATTATTCATCAAAGCATTCTCATAATGGGCATTTTAAAATACATTTTCATTATTCAAAAAGTTTGATATGAGCAAGCTAAAGAATGGAGAAAGCCTATGTCTTACCTAGGGGCCAATGGTATGTATACATCTATAGCATTCATCATATCATTTCTTACTTGTAATTTATCATTTACGAAGTTTGCTCTATAAAATGTAAGATTCCTGCGAGGAAACAATCTTTAATAAAAATTATGATGAAATATATTGCTAAAATAATCCTTCTATTGATGCAGGCAATAATTAATCCTACGGGCTTACAATAGAAGCATAAAGATAAATCTGGAGCACCTCAAGCAGGTAAAAATTACCTTGTTCTGAAAATATAGCCTCAAGTTGCAGTGTTTGTAGTATCTCAGATTAACAAAAAGTCAAGAATTCCAGAAAGGATTTGTGTCTCTGAGGTGCCTAAGACCATTCTCCCTAGTGTTCCATCAGGATTATTGGTATTATTATCTGTAGCTCACACTGTGGTTGTGGTGAGGGCTCCAATCGTTCCGGTATCGTCACCATAAACCTTTAAAAATCAACATAAATTGTAAGAATATGAGTGTAGAATCAGCACCCTTGGAAATTACAAATTTTGAGAACTATCTCAGATAGTAGTAAATAACATTTTGTAGAAAAGTATTCAGACCAGAATAGATTTTGAATATTATTGAGCAAAAATTATGAAGACCTAAAATTAATCAGTTTAATTCCAAGAAACCTAGCTAGTTCATAAGCGAGCATGCGCAATAAGAAAAGGCAAGACTAGTAATTTCTCTTTGAATATGAAGATTCATGCTTCTCAATAAATAGCACAAGTGAAGGTAAGTTCATCAACTTTGAGGCAATGATAGCTTTAGTTTTCCAAAACAATGAATGCTTACTCTATATGATAACTCTGACTTAGCTTCGACTGGTGGAGTCGGAAAGAAGTCTTCTGGGATATACTCTAAAGAGAATTGGAGGGCTTGCCATCCAGAAAATTCTATAATTATGTTACCTTATTCATAACGAATAAATTTATAAGAGATTACCTCTTGCTGATTCTATTGTGTTTGTGAATATATGAGTGGAATTCAACAGTTCTGATGACATTGTGAAGTTTCCAGGACTTTGATATAGACTCAAACACCATGAGGCTTCTGTGGCAGTAGTGGTAGTCAGATTAATATCCAATCAAAACAAAGTGCTAAAAGCTTCAGACAAGGGTTCTTTACGAGGCGTATTCAGCTTCAAAGAGGTATATCTCCATAATCACTGTATAAATTGATTGATCGAAATCAATTTTGTCGATGGATACTTTATTTTTGAAATCAAGCATAAGCATTCCGTTTGAAGCTCTACTCATTGGAGCTATATAGAGTTGTCAGATACTTAACTAAAGTAGGAACAAGTTATGATTCAGGTCATTTATTTTACTCATTGATATGCTTCAATCAGTGAAATTAAGTCCTATTGCTTATCTTGAATGCTGTCGACTGTAACATGGGAGGTATCCTCTGTGAGCCTAAAAAGACCGGGTTAGATTATGTCTCATATAAATCTAAATACTTCTTTTCGATGCTAATTCTAGACTAATCTTTACTATATATCAACTGTAGGGGTTCCTTCAGAGAAGACTCTTGATGTATGACTTTCAAATGTGTATGAAATTGAAGCGCCAGCTCAGATCTGAGGTAGCCATATGAGCATTCCTATGATTGTTACAAAGTAAATCTGTAATCGTGCTTGAAGAGATAGATTATTCCCCATATTTAAAAATTCAGTTTTAAACTATAGAAATGGGGTTTTGGGGTTTTGGGGTTTTGGGG